CCACCTCTCCTTTAGTCCTTGGAACGTCCACTGAATGGCGGTGCTTCTGTATGGGCAATATATGATAAAAAGATGCGAGATGGTGGAACTTGGAGTGTTGAATAGATGGATGAACGGACACACAGACAGATGCATGGATGGACGCATGAACGGACGCAGCGGCGGATGCATGAACGAACGCAGGGACGGGCGCACAAACAGACGCATGGACGGTCACACAGATGGACGCATGGACGGACGAATGCTTCGCCCCACTCTCCATCATTCACTCCGTGGATATGCAGCCATTTTTTTTGTGACGGATGAACGCCGGACGCGCTGAAACGCACATGCATCAAAGCAACGCAGCGCGGCGTGCGCCTGCGAGTATATGGCAGGACCGGCACCTGGTGTGGCAACGCCGGCGTGACGCGACGAAATGAACGCTGGCGACCACGCACATCGCGTCATACCTAAATTTATTGCCTTGACTGTCGCAGGTAGTCATCTTCTCACATGACACGCATCACATGATAATTATGTTTGCACTAGTATCATACTTTCGTCATCCATTCCCGTCCCGTAATACCTAGTTTGGTATAAGTGAAGCTAGCGAAACGGCCGCGAGCACATCGTGAGCGTAGCATATATCATGTTGTTACATGACACGCATCTCTTGTTTATCATATTTGAACCAGTATCATACCTTCGCCTCCCATTTACGTCCCGTAATACCAAATTCGATATAAGTGAAGCTAGCGAAACGGTCGTGGGTGCCTCATGAGCATTGCATGTAGTCATGTTGTTACATGACACGCATGTCATGATTTTCCTGTTAGGGTCTCTCGCTTGTACTGACCATGCAATCATGTCATACCATACTAGTTTTGCAACATGCCATGTGAACAAAACCACCGCAAGAGCTGCAGAACCATGAAATGTAAATCATGATATTCATGACATACGTGTAATAATTTTCGTGTTATGATTAAACAAATATGTTCTTCATACAGTCATGTTATGCCATACCAAGTTTAGCGTCGATACCATTATCGAAACGGCCAAAAGAGCTAAAATAGTAAGCGGCTAGATAGATAGATAGATAGATACGCACGAAGTCACCGAAATTCGCTAAAAAATGCTTCGCATTTAAAATAAAGAAATCTACAAGCGAGTTCGATGTCCACAAATACGACCACTAGACGAATCCGTGTTCTACCTATCAATCGAATGGTGGCTGGATTATTGCAGCGCCAGAACCGTTGATTTGTTGGAACTTTATACGGTTCCTGCGGGAAGCAGCCTAGCGCGCAGCGGGTAACTCCCACGTCGGGGCCGCCAGCCTAAGCCTGTTGGCTGCTTCTCGGGCCTGCTGATTGGCCAGGAATGGGCTGCAGATGGCCGCCTCCCACCAGAGTCGCCTCTTGTCAATTTTAGGAAACCCTATCGTATGCACAACCAGCAAAGCTACCTGTAGTGGAAATAATACCGTGCGATTTAGAACATCCAGGAACAACGATCGTGCAGAAGACTACGAGCGATCACCGCAGGCTGTGGGCAGTCACTGATAAGTGCCACAGCAGGCACGCGCGTTGGTCGTGCCATCCAATATTGAACTTGAAAGGGTTTGCTTCCTCCTTGTCGAAACTTTTTAGGGGCGAAGCTCCTTATGGCGTGGCTTGTGCGTCCCTCGTAGTACGTAACCACCACTGGCACATACCCGAAATAGCGGTCCTTACAATTTTAACCTCCAAGGTGGTTGCGGTGAAAGATTTCTTCTGTGCGTTGTTGAACAATAAAAGATAGTGCTCAATGCACATTCTAATGGCTGCTAAGGGACTATGAGAGACAGGAGCATTCGGCCTTTAAGTAACGCGCACGCTGCGATCCCCATTAGCAGATATAGGCATGTACATTGAGCACAATCTGACAAGAAAGTGATGCTATGTTATACTCGCTGGGTGTAACCTCCTTGGTTTTAGAAAGGTTTAGCGAGCGTTGGGCCGCATAGCCATGAATACAGTGAACTAGTATATACCATGAACTCGAGGTGGTTGAAGGTGGGAAGTAAACACGAAGCGCAAGCCGTAAGAAAGTGTGCATGTGCCACCTCCCGTTTAGTCCTTGAAATGTCCGCTGGATGGCGGTGCTTCTATATGGAGAATATATGATGAAAAGATACGAGATGGTGCTACTTGGAGTGCTGAATAGATGGATGAACGGACACACAGACAGATGCATTGATGGACGCATGAACGGATGCAGGCGTGGATGCATGGACGAACGCAGGGACGGACGCACGAGCAGACGCACGCTCGGACGGGTGGATGGACGCATGAACGATTACACAGACGTACGCAGGAACGGACGGAAGCAAGAACGAATGGACGGACGAATGATTCGCCCCACTCCTCATCATTCACTCCGTGGATATGCTGCCATTTTTTTTTTTGAGAAATAGGAAGTCCTATAAGGAGGAGGCCCGACATTCCGCAGTGGGCTATACTGTACATTAAATATGCGCTTTTGGCTGTGACACGCCAAGGTATGACGACCTGCTAAAGCGGCTCATATACTCCAGCGTAGTGCCCACACGCTTTCACGTACGTCACGGTGGCATCGCGTTATTAAAGCGGAGCCCTGTATAATCCTTTTGCCGCACACCACGCACGCCAACGAGCCAAAGGGCCCTTGATGCAATCGGGCGTCGCTCGGCTCCGTACTGCATTTCTCGCCGAGCGCACCGGACTCATCCGCACCGAGCGCCCGTACTCGTGTTTACCAACTGTGATTTGGTCAGAACAACGTGCATTCTGCTCATTATTGCGCATGCGTTACTTTGGCTGTTGCCTTTGCGTCGAGTCTTCTCGTCTTGGAAAGCGGACATGCACCCCGCGTGTCATCGCCGACGAGACACGACGGAACGAACGCTGGCATGCACGCGAGCCGCGAACGTCGGAGTATAATAAAACCTAAATACAACCCGCACACCTAAAAGGCACCGCACTTAAAAAGTGGTTGATTGAACTAATATCACACTTCAATTTTCAAACAAACTACGAAAACTGCGGAAACACACCACGCAACTGCTAGGAAAATACGCAGCTGTGACAGAAAAAAAATGGCCTGAATCTGCATGTTGCACTGCAAATTTCGTCGAAAGACGATAGTCTTGCGTCTGAAGAGAGTGAACTAAACGTTTATTTGATGTTCTGTGCAAGAAAATTGGTGAATTGTACTCTGGTGGCTCTGCGTTAGAGTGCCTCGAGCGTGTAGCGGAGGCGAACGAGCGTATAGAGGCACGTTAGACACGAGCGCCATCTGGCAGTTATCTTCGAAAACGAAGGCGTGCGCATCGCGGAGAAAGATGCGCGCCAGTCTCGGAGGTGGTAAGGTGTAGAACGCAAAGCGAAGAGCAGGGGCCACCACCATGTCGTCGTAGAAAAGCGTTGGAAACACCTTTTTAGGCATCGCGTTGCACTGTCAGCGCGGCGCGAGAAACGCTACAGTCCTTATAGTTACTCTTGTGTGCCTCTTCTAGTATGAAGGCAGACATACAAAACATCAACGTGGGGTTATAGCGCCTCAGATATACGCAATAATTGCTTTTTACTTGACAATTGCACAACTATACACGCTAAACCTTGAGCAATATTGGTGGGCGCTGCGGATCGGGTTGGCCGTTTGGTGCCGTTTGAGGTATCTTTAGAGGCAGACAAACAGACAGATGTACCGACAGACAGACAGACAAACAGACAGACCAAAATTTTTCCGTCGAAGGTTCCCAGGAAAGACTATCGTCTTTAAAAATCACAGTATATCTACGGAATGAATGATGATGAGTAGGATGAAACATCCGTCAATCCTTGCGGTTTCTTCCGTGCGTCCATTTGTCCGTATGTACACCTGTTCGTGCGTCCGTTCTTGCGTCCATCCGTCCGCCCCTCCGTCCGTGCGCCCATGCGTCAGTCCATTCGCACGTGTGCCCGTTCATGCGTTCGTCTGTGCATGCGTCCATTCGTCCGTCCATCCGTTCGTGTGTCTGTCTGTTCATCCGTGCATCCATCCGTCCATCTGTCTGCCCGTTCATCCAGTAAACACTTCAAGTAGCACCATCTCAGTTCTTTTTCTGATATATTCATCATATCCAATTACCACCATGCAATAAACAATTCAATGAATAAACTTGAGTATGTACCACATTTCTGCTGTCAGCGCTTTGTAAATACCAAGAACGTAATAACGATGCCGTGGTACGTTTTTTGTTACATGTGGACATGCGGATATGTGTATGGGGGCGGGTATGTGCCACTGGTATGCGGGAATATGCCACAGGTTACGTGCTACGACAACAGGACACACAAGCCATGCCATAAAGTGCTTCGCCCCTAAAACATGACATGTGTCATGTAATGAAGGTGTTGTCTACTACCTTTCTATGTCATATGCGAATGACTACGTAAGGGATACAAAATAGTGCCTTAGAGAACGTGACCACGCAAAGAGGCCTGGTGATGGTGTATTATTCGGGCATAGCCGCATCTAGGGACTTGGCATCTTTTTGATGAATGCCTGTATTTATTGTACGCTTGTACCAAAATGAACCACGTGGCTCATTGTTTATTCTGTGATCACCCACAGGCTAGACAAGGGTTCTGTTAGCGCAGTGTCATTGTCATTGTCCAGGAAATAATTCGGATTCATTGACGCATCTAAATCTGAGGAACCCTGGATATTATGTTCATAATTTCTTATTCGGCGTCTCAAAAAGCACTGTTGAAATTTACCGCTTGAACATGTGTTACTTCTTCTCTCATCGCCGTCCTCTCAGTTCCGCGCGTAACACAACCAATAAACCAGGATATTCCAGAAGCAACAGGGGGTTGAGCTGCTCCAAGAAAGGTGTGTTGTAAGATGGATGGTAAAAGCTTTTCACCTTTACTGTAAACAGCCATATGATATTATCGGTGGCCTGTAAAAGTTTGGCGCAGTGATTAAGTCGATCTGTTTGTGAATTTCAGGCATGCAAGCTGTTTCTCGGGAAATGTTGGTTTATGAGGCTCCAAATTCTTCATGCGCTGTTTTGGAGCTCCGGCTACTAAGTCGAGGTATTCGATAACCCGTTTTTCTTTTTCTTTTAAAATATGCTCGATGGGCATCACAATGGCTGTTCAACATCACATTCATTTCCTCGTACGGCACTGCGCAATTCCTTTCGTTCATGGGGCATGGCTATAAGTATAACTTAGAAGGGTGCTGGATCGGGCTAGTTCGTGCTGCAGTACTACCAACGTAACAGCATGGAGGCAGCAAAATGAACAAGAAAAGGGACGGGAATAAGCTATAACCACAAAACAGGTAAATATTATCGAAAGCGTGAATGAAACGGGATCACATACAGGGGCATCAGGTGTAGCCATATGAAAAATAGTAACGTGCTACAAACCAAATCGCAGCAAAAAGGTATGAGCTACAAAGCGAACCTCTTTCGGAGTTACAATTTGGCATATAGTTCGAAAGACATGGCAGCAATCCTGCCCGGTGGTTAAGTGGTTGCGGCAGCGCTATGAGGTCACATATAGCCATCGGAGGGTATTGGGGCCATTTTTCTCATGGTCAGAGTTTTACCAACTCTGCACACTATATGTGACATTTTCGGACTTCGAAGCGCCGGCAGTTTTTAGCAATACAGCTGAAAGTTGAGAAGTAAACGTGAACTTTCCCTTTATAATTGAGAAATAATGTTCCCATGGATTAGAGACTGAGCGTCTATGAAAATTCACGTATATAAAAACGTTATTCATTATATGCGCTCTAGGCATCTTCCAGTGCAGAGTTCTGGCGTCAAGCTGATGGCTGCTTTTGGGTAGATGTATATTTGATGGAAAAGCTTTTTTTTTTCGATTGTATATTGTTAAGGTCAATTCAGCGCTACCACTGTTACGCACAGCGCGAGCAGGACTTCTTCAGGAGGCAAACCACCTCCTTTAGTCCTAACTGCGGGCAATGCAATTGTATTGTACAAAAATGAACTAAATAGAAATAAATATATAACCTAAGCTAGAACCGATGTCAACCATTTCAAGAACCCAGCCTGTAATTTTGTAGCATAAATCTACAGTGGCCCAGGCTGAGCAGTGTCGCTAGCAAGGTGTAGGAAAGAGAGGTGACTGATCGCCTCGGAGGCGCAGCAGAGCAGCTTCGTGGAGAACTTGTTCGGGTTCGCCTCCTTTCTACCAGAGGGCGCTAGGAGTATCGGGGCCATGGGAAGTAATTACTAGATCTTTACTTCCCATTGGGAAGTAATAACTTCCCAATGGGAAGTTATTACTAGATCTTTGCGAGCAACATAGTCTGGAGATAGTTAACACGGGGCCTAAATGTGACGGCCAGATCACATGGGAAGTCGGAAACAAGCAATCAAGTATTGATTATTGTCTCATGACTGAAGGAATTTACCACAAACTGACAGAAATGAGGATAGACGAGGAAGGCATTAACAGCTTGGGTAGTGATCATAAACGAATAACATTACAAATGGGATACGAAACTGAATATATGAGCATGGAATCAAAGTCTGGCAGCTCGTATTTAAATGACAAACAAATAATAAATATAGCCGCAAGAGTCGAGGAAGAAGTAGGCGAAATACCAGGCAAGGACTGGGAGTATAGTGAGCTGTTACATCTAATGACGAAGGAGATAGGGAAAGAGAAGAAAACTGTTTGCTGGAAAGGAAAAAGGAAGCCAAAAGTTGGTGGAACAAGGAAATCCGGGAGGCGATCGAGAAGCGACGCGAAGCCTCACGGGAGCATAGAAAGGCAAAAAAGGAGAAGCGGCCGCAGGACGAAGTAAAAAAAATATGGGAAATATATTTAGAGAAAAAATCCCTTGTACAGAAATTGGTAGAGGCAAAAATTAAAGGTGAAAGTGAACGCTGGATGACAGAGATACACGAAAAAAAGGAGGCCGCGCCTAGGATTTTTTGGAGCCACATAAAGGCGCTAGGTAGGAAGTCTGTCACAACGCAACAACATATTCTAGATGAAGGAGGAAATCAATTGGAAGGGTACGAAGCGCTAGGTTACATCCAAAAGGTAACAGCCGATTCGTTTCAAAAGAGCGTCCAGGGGATCTCCCCGGTGAGTAAAAGTGTGGCGGAGAAAGCAACAGAGGAAGAGCTAGTACTTGATAATTTCAACTGGAAAAAGGCCGAAGGAAAAATTCCAAAGCGCACTGCCGCGGGTTAGATGGGATTCCCGTTAGCCTCATTAACGAACTAGGACATAACACTAAAGAAGCATTGTTAAAAGCAGTAGAAAAAAGCTTAAAGGACGGACAAATACCGGACAGTTGGCGACAAAGTAGAATGAACTTAATCTATAAAGGCAAGGGAGAAAAGGACAAGATTCGCTCGTATAGACCACTAACCATTACATCGGTACTATACAGGATGGCGATGCAAGCAGTAAAAATGAAAATAGAAACATGGGCCGAACATAACGATATTTTGGGAGAACTTCAGAACGGATTTCGAGTCGACAGGCGGTTAGACGATAACCTGTTTGTTCTCACTCAGTGTATAGAAATATCCAAAATAGAGAATAGGCCCTTGTACGTGGCTTTTCTAGACATCACTGGGGCATACGACAACGTTAATCAGGAAATTTTGTGGGATATATTGAAAGGAATGGGCATGGGCGACGACTGTATACAGCTTTTGAGGGAGATATACCGAGAAAATACAGTCTGCATAGAGTGGGAAGGAATGCGTAGCAAAGAGAACGTTGAGGTTAGCAGGGGTCTGAGACAGGGATGTCCTTTGTCCCCGCTGTTATTCATGCTGTACATGGAGAGTATGGAAAAAGCGCTAGAAGGTAGCAACATTGGTTTTAATCTGTCACACAAACAGGGCGGCATGATGATTGAGCAGAAGCTTCCAGGTTTATTTTATGCGGACGATATCGTCTTATTTGCGGACAGTCGAGATGATATACAGCAGCTGGCGAATATATGCGGAAGGGAAGGTGAAGCTCTTGGACTAGGATTCAGTGTAACGAAGTGTGGATTGATGGTATTCAATGATCCCTGTGATCAGACGGTGTCCATACAAGGCCAAGAAATACCGAGGGTAAGTGAATACAAGTACCTTGGAGTATGGGTAAATGAGAGTGATAGATACATGGAGGTACAGGAAAAAGCCTCGGCAGCAAAAGGAAAGAGGAATGTGGCAATAATGAAGCACAGAGCGTTGTGGGGATACAATAGGTATGAGGTGCTTCGAGGTCTGTGGAAGGGTGTAATGGTTCCAGGGCTTACTTTTGGGAACTCAGTGGTGTGCATGAGGGCAGAGGTGCAAGCGGGAATGGATGTAAATCAAAGGACTGTGGGACGCCTCGCGTTGGGTGCTCACGGGAAGACGACAAACGAGGCTGTAAAGGGCGATATGGGGTGGGCAGGTTTTGAGGCGAGGGAAGCGCAGAGCAAAATAAGGTTCGAAGAAAGGCTAAGAAATACGAAGGAGAGTAGATGGGCAGAGAAGGTGTTCCGTTATTTGTATAGGAAGAGCGTGGACACACAGTGGAGAAAAAGAACTAGAAGACTCACTAGTAAGTATACGGCTGGTATTGTAAGCCGTATGTCAACAAAGAGCGTTAAGGGAAAAGTCAGGGAGGCGGAGAGGATTTACTGGATGGCAGCTATGGAGAAAAAACCGGCTTTGAGTAACTACCGAAAGGGCAAAAATGAAATAAGGAGGGAGGCATTTTACGATAATTCAAGGGGAAGCGCTTTACTGTTTGAAGCGAGATCGGGTTGCCTTAGAACGCGTAGTTATAAAGCAAGATTCAGTAAAGAAGAAGAACAATGCACATGCTGCGGGAAAGATAAGGAAACGGCGGAGCATGTTCTGATTGAATGTGGAGATATCCACCCAGGTGTACGTTTGGGCACGAGCCTACAGGAAGCCTTGGGTTTTAGGGACAACAATGGAAAGCTGAACACACCCGCGATTGAAATAAGTAAGAGACGGTTAGAGTATTGGTGGCAGAAAATTAGAGAGAAAGGACAAAAATAAATATTGGAAAAATAAAATATGGACAGTGTGCCGTAAATGGCAGAGAACTTAAGCTGAAAATTTACCTTTTTTTCCATTAAGATAGAATTTATCGAAGTAGAGGCATTAGGCCAACATAAAAAGAAAAAAAGGTTTTTTTTTTTGTCGAGCCTGGTGGCATACTTGTCACCACCCCGTTATAAAGGGGACGCTCATAGCATCCATCCATCCATCCATGCGAGCCGCGGACGGTGCGTAGGGCCACTTGATTTTTTGCTCCGCCACGAGGCCGTCTTTTGTATCGTAAGTTCGGAACGTCTCTGTTTTGTGTGAACTATCCGCGATCTTTGACAGTTTTGGTTGATCGTGTGAGTTTATACGACGTGCGTGGGGCATGTAAAAGCGATGGGGAAAAAGTGTTTCGCCCCACGCTGCAAGACAGGGTACAAGTCCTGTACCGAGAAACTTTCGCTGTTTTTTGTGCTGAGAGAATAAGAACGCCTTCGGGTGTGGAGGAATGCCATTCCGCGCAAGGATCGCATCCTACAGTCTACCGACCACCTCTGCGAACGGCACTTCGAGCCTCATTTGGTAAGCAAAACCTGGGAAGCTGTCTACAACGGCAAAGTTTTGTGTCGAGCACCCCGGAAAGCGTCCCTCTCCAATGATGCAGTGTCCACTATTTTTCCGGACTGCCCAAGCTATCTCTCGAAAGAGAAAAAACAACGCAAGAGGCCAGCTGAGAGACGTGACATCAACGGGCCAATCAAGAAGCACCGTAAGCAAAGCCAGAAACTCGGCGACTCGCTTTTGCTGGATCCTCCCGAAACTGGTGCTACTGCTTCGGACGTGCTCTTGCATGATTGTACCTCGGCAACCCTGGCAGCGGTGTCAACTTTTGATGAACTGTTTGGAAGCCCAGCATTCGTTGAGCTTCCGTCCACCCCCTGGGGCTTCCACAGATTGCAGGTTGACGAGCTTCGCAATGTTGTGTTCTCGGAATTGCGGCGCGTTCGAGAACTGCAGTGCGCTGCTGACACAAGCCACATAGTG